TAGCTGGTGCTTGCTAGGTACTGGTATGCCATTGTACTAGTAACAGGCATGTGTATCTCCGGCTTAAGAGTTTTAATAATGACAATTTGTTTAAAATAATTTATGTAGTAATAATTTCATAGCACAGGGGACTGGACTTATTTTTACATGAATACTGAATACAATAAAATTATTGCCACATATCAGGAAAAAGAAACAAATGTGAGTACATACTAGATAATCAATTATTTTAAACACATTTTCGTTATTAAAACTCTGAAAATAGTCAAAATAAAGCTTACCAGGGGACTGTTTTTACTAACGGCTGAGACGCGAGGTTCACCATCAGACGCCGTAGTAGCACTAAACCAAATACCTAGCGGTTGCCGAATTAGCTCCAGTTTTGAACAAATATTGGAAAAGTTACCAGATCCAGGTTTATGTCTACAAGGAAGAACCTTATTTTATTATTTTCCTATATATGTACCAGTTTTTAAGAAATAAGTTCATTTAAAGTTTTTTCTCGAAGTACAATGTTAACATTGATTTTTTATAAGGTATCGTGTAATTAATACTAATTACTTTAGTTACTACTAACTTCGGGCAGCTTCAAAAGTTTAAACAAGAACGTAGTGAATTAGGAATGATCATAGAAACTATATAATAATCTAGTAAAATATATCATATATGAGGTACCTGCAACATAAAAGTACTGAAAGGAAAAAACTCAAATGGCGCAACAAAAACGAGAAAAACTTTACCGTCCGAGACACATAGGAAATACTCAAGACCATAGAAACATTTTTCACCAACTTATACTTGGTAAAAACACAACAGCAACAAGTACGTTATTAATTATAATTAACACAAGCTCAGAAGAAATACCGGAAATAACCGACTCTGGAATTATAACAATGAATATGAATAAATATCCAGGAGAGGATAAAATCAAGATTGAAATGTTAAAAATTAGTGGCAGAGAAATGGAAAAGGTATTAAATATTTTATTTAATAAAATAATCGACGAAGGAAAGATTCCCCTAGAATTGACCAATTCCGAAGTCATTCTACTATTCAAGAAAGGAGACAAAGCAAACATGTAGAACTACTGACGAATATTCTTATTATCTTCTTTTTCTTAGAGTGCCGTCTCCCTACGGAGGTTAGCAATCATAATGGCTATTTTTATTTTTCAACTTACTGCTCTAAACAAATCAATCGATCTGCATTGATACCAATCACGTAGATTCTTTAACCATGAGTTCTGCCTTCGGCCAACAGATCTTCTTCCTTGAATCTTTCTCTGTATTATGAGTCTCACAATTTCATATTTGAGACCCCTCATCACATGGCCTAAGTATTCCAGTTTTTTAGTTTGTATAGTGGTGATTAGTTCTGTTTCTTTACCAACCCTCTCCAGTAGTTCTTTATTTGTGATTCTATCAGTCTATGATATTTTTAATATTCTGCGGTATAACCAGAGTTCGAAAGCCTCGATTCTTTTTAAATTTCATTTTTTTAATGTCTAAGTCTCAGCTCCATATAATAATATTGAAAATATATAACAGCGAATGGTACGTAGTCTGATTTCCAAATTTAGATTTTTGCACGTTAGGAGTGGCTTCATTCGTATAAATGCTGATCTGGCAATCTCTATTCTTCTGTTTATTTCTGCAGTATGATCATTGGTTTCATTGATCAAAGTTCCCAAGTACTGATATTTTTCTACTTGTTCTATCACCTTACCTTTGATTGTCAATAGGTGATGTATATTTTGTGGTCTTTTTGTAATTAGCATGTACTTTGTTTTTTTAGCGTTTATAGTAATACCCATCTCAGCACTATTCATACTCAAGCTTTCGATAAGTTGTTGTAGATCCTCTATACTCTAGTGATGTAACGAATATTCGCATTCGCGAATATTCGCATATTTTTGCATATTCGCATTTGCATTCGCATTCGCAAAATTTGTGCGAATGTTTTGCGAATATTACACAGCTTGCATTTAGCTCGTTCAGTATCGAAAAGTGGTGAAAAATAAGTCCATATTTCACTATAATTTGATTTACTCATAGTAATAAATCGCTAATCACACTTTAACTAAAAATTCACTTGTATTTGTGCACGAGCAGAGCAGGGCAAGTGGAGTGACTTGTGTCCCGTGAAATTTTTATTGGAACTATAACCAGAGAACTTAGTTTTCTGCTATAACTTTCTCTCTATAACAAGTCAAATTTGATTATAACAAGAGAAAATAAGATCGAAAAACGTGCTTTCTACGTTTTTGGCCCGGACGTGACTATAAATAAATACCTTTTTAAACGACCCCTCAATAAACTTAACCGCCTACAATAAACTTCTTTACAATAAATACAACTGTTTCACATCTTTACTTTAGCAAATATGATAGAATGATACTGGACAATTTAAAGCAGTTAAAAATGACAGACTTTTTCTAATTGCCTACACACCTCGCGCAAATGAGACTGCCGGCAGTGCCGGATACAATTAAAATTGCCAAATTAAAAAAAAAACTGAATATTCGCATTCGCGAATGTCGGTGGCATATATTCGCATTCGCATTCGCGAATGTTTAAAAAATGACATTTGTTACATCACTACAGTATACTCGTTGCTATGATCACAGTGTCGTCTGCATATCTTAAGTTGCTAATTCATTTTCCGTTAACGGTGACTCCCGCTTCGATATTATTGAGCGTGTTTTTCAAAATTTCTTCAGAATATAAGTTAAACAAAAGTGGTGATAAAACAGTAAACACATCCTTGTCTAACTCCTCTACAGATCCTCATTTCTTCTGAGTGTTGCCCATCAATTTGAACTATGGCACTTTGGTTCCAATATAATGTTTGCACTATATTTATGATTGTACTGTCAATGCGCTTGTTCATAAGTATTGATATTAGTTTTTCATGTCTTACTTTATCGAAAGCTTTTTCGTAGTCAACGAAGCACAAGTGTAGATCGACATTCACATCCTGACATCGCTGAATCAATATGTTGATGGCAAATACTCCTTCTCGAGTATCCATTCCATTTCGGAACCCGAACTGCGTCTCGCTAATATCCTCCTCTAGCTTTTCGTATATTCTCTTATGTATTATTTTTAGCAGAACTTATTATCACATCTATATAAATTACTAACCAAACTAATAACCAACCGTCTAATAAACAAGCTCGAAGAAATTAGAATGTACCAAGGGTATAAACATCGACCGATCATACTTAAACCATTTGGGATTTGCAGATGACTTAGTTCAACAATTTAACGAAGTTTCCGGAGCGGTAGGCTTAAAAATTAACTACAGTAAAACAAAAATAATCGAGTCACGACCAGACAAATATAACAATACAAAACCATACCATAGAAAATGTGGAACATTATGTATACCTGGGCCATGTCATCAAACTGGGAAAACCAAATCAAGATGTTGAAATTTAAAAAAAAAAAACAACTGGCATGGGCCGCTTTCGGCAAACTAGCATGTATCTTGAAAAACAAATCAATTACTATAAAGAAAAACGTTCAGGGATATCGTCCTGGTATCACTTCATCCTTCCACCTTTTCCGTGGCCTTCTTTTTCCTATCGAAGTCTCTGAAGTTTAACGAATTTTGAGATCGGTGCCTCTTTGAACAGTTAGTAGAGTTGATGGTTGTACCTGAATCTTCACACTTGGTTTTCGTTAACACATTCGCAGCTGAATTTTTTCGAGAAGTGTTACCCGGGAGCGGCAATAACTTTTTTCTAAAATATCGTTGTAATTGACATTAGAATATATATTAATATTAAATTAATTTAATAAAGTGCATATATATATTTATAAAATTTTATTTGAATTTTTGACTCCGATGGGAGTCATGCCTGGCTAAGAATTTCTAGTGTATCGCTGACTGGCTTCGATCGACACAAGACAAACTAGAACGTTTTTCTAGAAAAATAATTATATAACGGAAGTTTAGAAAAAAAGATTATTAATTTATTAAAATACAGAAAGATTCACATATTGATTTGATTTTAATTCACATATGACTAATTTCAAAGCATTCAACACAAAATTCTGGCTGACCAGGACATTTTTCGCAGTGATATGTTGTCTGCTTTCTAATTTTAGTTTTCGGAGCATATTTTGCAATGCTGTCTCTTTGTTCGTCCCTTATTAACCATAGGAATTTTTGAAATACTAAAAATGGCTCCAATCGGAGTCATGCACAGCGAAAGTATTAATAGGTCCAAATATCTTCTTTATGACTTTTCTTTCGAAGACTTCAAGCTTTCTTTTTGTGTCTTCTGTCATCACCCATGTCTCGCCTCCATAATATACTATTGGTCTGATAATAGTTTTGTAGACCTTGGTTTTCGATTTCCAGTGCGTATTTTTGGAGCGGAACTCATTCTTTACCTTTACTATTCTTTGAATTTCTGGTCCTTCTGTTCCATCCGTGCTTAATTTCCAAATATGTGAAACTTTCTACCGTTTCAATATCGTCCTCCAATTCAACTGTGCGTATGTTTCCCCTAGCTTCTTGCCTGTGTTAACGATTTTTATCTTTTGAATATTTTTTTCTAGTTCGGTCTCTGACTTGAGTATCATAACATTCGAGTCTTAAAAATACTGCCAAATTGAACTTTTTTGTCAATAAAAACATTTCTCTGGATGGCTACAACAGTCCGCTGTCACAGGTTTGCATAAAATTGTCCATTACTCAAAAACCAAGAGGAAAATGTGTGGGTTTTTTTGGATTATATTTAATTTACTATATCTATCTTTACAGCACGCCTCTGGTAACAGCAAAAAACAATATTTTAACGTTAGTTTGCTAACATGTCATATCTTATAAATATATAGGGTTTCTCTTAAAAAACATAAGTTGGTATATTATATTTCCTTAGTGGGATTTTTATTTTAAATTAAATGGCGAAAGTGAGAACATTTCTACTCTATTGTTATCGTATAAAGTATATTTTATGCTACCTATTTATTTATATTAATATTTTTCAGAACTGAACAAAAACCCTGTGGAGGGTTTTTCTGCAGGCCTTATAGATGATAATGACATCTACAGATGGGAAGTACTCATAATAGGTCCTCCTGATACATTATAGTAAGTCATTTTAATATAAGTAGCTTTAATTTTATATAATTCGTTGTTCATTTTTTATATTAATAACACCTTTGAGTATATTTTGATTACAGGGCGTAACTGTTATATAAGTTCTGTATTACTTGGTATTCTGTATACCATGAAAATTACTAACCGCGTTGAGAATTTAATACTCGACATTTCGGCACCCATTTTGGAGCTATTATCAGGTGAGATATGGTTCCGTTTGAGTTTGGAGTCTCAATCTGCCTACTCCCTCATTTGTGACGTACCAGTATCGTGTTCTGTAGAAATACAAAAACCAACAAAAGGCACTGAAGTCTCAATCTGCCTACTCCTCAGTGTCGATCGTCTTATTTGTCTTCATTGTCGCGTTGGTTTTTTCTTTTTCTTGGTGTTGTTTCTTTTTATTGGTGGTTTTGGCATCCTGTTTTAGGCTGTTGCCTCTATTGTGGATGTGGTTTTTGTTTTTGTGGTGTTTGGCTTCTGGTTTGTTTTTTCGTTGATCCACTGGTGGAGCTGAACCAGGACAATCAGCGGCGAAAGGCTTTGGTCGGTTCTTTTCAGAATTGTTGTCTAAAATAATTAGTGTATTAGTGATTATTAAATTAGTAAATGTAGAAAAGTGAGATATTAATATATGTATAAATACATGCATTAATATATTATGCAATTAGTAATTAGTAAATATGTTATGACGCGGCGCGGGAGGGCAGCTGCGGCTGATCCGCAGAAAACCGATCCCCCCTGTCTAGGCAAGCTGGAAGTGAGCAATTTAACTAGAAATGCGACGGAAATAGAGGGGTGTTTCCTCCTGTATGTCAATGTATTCATCAGGGAGTTCGTTACTGGCGAGTTACAGTAGAGTAGCGGGTAGGTGTGGGAGTTTAGGTTTAGGATGTCTGGTGAATACATTGCCGCGGATTGAGCAGACAGTTTTTAGAGTGCGTTGAGCTCTGAGGTTTTGGCCCAGGATTGTGCGTGTAGTATAACTTCTGCTCAGAGAGTGTAGTCTCTCATTTAGGGGCTGGATGTTAGATAATTGATGAATGAGGGCGGAAGGGTAGTCGCAACGTTGACCATCTTACCCTGTGTAGCTGCTTTTATACTCTTAGTATGTGCGGTAACGGTATGCCCGGAAATGGCGTGAGCAGAAGGGTCGCTGAAGCAGCGGTCACGATGTTGCCGGCAGTCGTTTAGCGTCATAGCGTGTATTTAAGCTGTTAGGCGGTTTTTCAATTTCGATGGTTTTTTGCTTTTTCAAAATAAAAAAAGATTTATAAGTGAAAAAGCAGAGGAGATTCTGCTGTTTTTCATAAGTGATTACACGTACGTGTGACAAGTCACGCAATCTTGTTTTTAATAATTTATTATTAATAATGGTATTGTATGGATTATTTTGCCGGGAAACGTCTTCCTATGCTTTTTCTGCCCAGTATATTTTCTTGTATAATTATCTTCAGCCACACATAGCTCTCTCCTCTGATGGCATGACCCAGACACTGCAATTTCTTTATTTTAATTATATTCAAAACCTACTTCTCCTTTTTCATTATTTTCAAATCGTCGTTATTCGCCAACTGATCCACCCAGCTTTTTAAGATTCTCGTGTAAAGCCACATCTCAAATGCTTTTATTCCGTTGCTAATGCCCCCTTTTAACGTGTATGCCCCCATTCCATATAATAGTACCAAAAACACATAGGTTACACGGTGTTACTAACACCTAGTATTCGTGCTTGCGGCTCAGATCATTTCTGAAAAGTGTTTCCCTCATAATTAAATGCTGATCGGGCTACGACTGTTTCTAAGTATGGATATCTGTTCACTTTTTGAACGAGTTTGCCCTTAATCCATAATCCCTCACTTGTTATGATTTTGCAATGGTTATAAATTTCGTCTTTTTGATATTTCAATTTATTTTGCCCTCTTCGCTACCCTCTACAATGTTATCCGTCGGTATCTAAAACCGCGGTATTGTAGTGATACACTGGTGAGCTTACCGACGAGCCATAAAACCGCGGTTTTTCTCGCCTGTCGATCATAGCCTTCAGATATATTGGTTTCAAAATTTTTTAAAGTGATATTTTTGTTGTGTGATATATATTTTGATAATATGGTTTTTCCTTAACATTTTAAATTTATTTACAGCGAAGGAGGTTTTTTCAAATGTCATCTTTATTTTCCGAAGGAATACCCACTTAGGCCACCAAAAATGAAATTTGTAACAGAAATTTGGCATCCTAATAGTAAGTAACACATTTTTAACTTCATATTATATAAGTTTTCAATTATCTTAGTCACTAGATGTTTTAAAAAATGTCCAAATTATATACCTAGCTGAAAATATTAATATTTTCCTAACATAAATATACAGAGTGTACTTCTGTAACAAAGCCATAAAATTTATGAAAAAAAAGTTGTTAATATAAGTTGTAGAGCACAGTATAAGTTAGATCATTCAAATAAGTGGAAAATGTCCCAATTCAGGGTTAAAACAGGGAAAAAAGGTGAAAAAAGGTATCTGATCGTTTTAAGTCATAGGGGGACATAGTTAATGGAAAATATGTATAGAGGTACTATCAGATCGACCTTATTTTTTTGCAGTAGGAGAAATATTTGTATTAAGCAACAAAATATTGTATTTAGGGTGTATTTGTTGGCTCGTTATTATAAATATAATCTATAGAAGATTTCTGTCCTTGAGTGTTTGGAAATATTTGTATATTTGTGTTGTGGTTTATGTGGAAAGAATGAGTTATTTATTCTCAAGGTGTTCTGGGCGGCGCAGAAATTAATTAGTGCTTGTCCATTTTGATTTATTGTCTCTTTGCTGATACGTTATTTTATTCCTTTTAATACTTCGTTCCCTATTCTTGCGTTTAAGTCGCCTAATATAACTTTTTCATTGATATTAATTGTATTCATCTGATCGTGTAATGTATTGTAGAAGGCTTCAGTTTCTTCGTCGGTCTTATGTGTTATGAAGGGATAATTAATTTGAATCTTTACAAGTTCAAATCCATCAATAATTTGCTGAGATAATTGGTTTCTAGTCTTTTTTTTTGTATTCTCGGTTCTTGTTTTTATCTTGTAAGTTTCTTGTCCCTTTTATTTTTTGGTGTTGGAGATTCTGGCTTTCCACCTTTGTGGATTTTACTTTCGAACAGAGTGGTCCGAGTCAGCATTCCTTGTTTGTTAACCACATTTTAAGTCTGATTAATGTCTCTAGTTAATATGATCTATCATGTTCACTGTGATCACCCGAAGATCTTTATGTTCCGATATCAATGTTTTTGTGCGGGAAATGACGGTATTAAGAGAATTTGCTAGGTTCATTAACCTATTGCCATTATCATTGGATATTTCATGGAGAGTTTTTGCATATGGTTGGTATAAACTGTTGCTCTTTCCCTATTTTTGCCTTGAGGTTCCCATTGATTATTTTAGTGTCATTGTTTGGACTAGTATGGTATGCAATTTCTATTTCATCGTAAAACTTGATCTAATCATCCTTTTCTTCAATACGGCATGCCAATTTAAAAGTGATTAAAATTGAGTTGTTATCAACAGGTCCTCGTAGACACTTCGTCTCAGGACCATTTTACTCATGTAGAGTCATACGCCGCCATGTTACCTATCCAACGGTAACTTAACCATCACAAATTAGAAATACTAATAATGTAAACCAATTTCAAATTTACAACATTTAAAGGGTTTTTACCCATATATTTTGGTGGCTACTAGCATGTACAACCGTTTGCACTGATGATGGATTGTTTAATCCGAAAACGTTTTGCAATGTGTTTGTGATAGCCCGTTTGTGGCATTTTTATATACCTTTTATAAAGGATTTTAACAAAATTTTTTTGTGATATATGGTATACAGCCAGCTACAGGAACTTAGTTTCCTCGTGGAAAATTAAAAAATTATCCTTTTAGTCTCAGTTTACACATTCGGGGATTTCTCCCTATAGTCTTCTACTCGATATTTGATTTTTTTATTTATTACGAAGCCAGTGACTAGTCGTTAATATTACAACTGTAGATATTACGTCATTTACTTTTTCTATAGTGCCAATCCCATCCATTTAGTTTATTGTAGATCAGTCATATCTATTCTATGCTTGTTAGTTATCTGAGTAAGCTTCTGGTCTGTATAGGGGTCGAATATTCCAAGTCGCAATCCGTATGGTATGCCCATTTTCTCGTGTAGTCTTCGTAGCTTAATCACTCCTGCTTCTTCTCTTTGAACTATGATAACAGCCCAACCTGGAGGACTATGGACACTTTTGTTATGGTTGCCATACGTCAGCGAAAGGGGTCCAGGTTTAAGGCGGTGGATACTCGTCCTCCATCCAATCTTGGGTAGGATTTGTTAGTATAATCAACACATCGCTGGCTCATGATTACAAGGTTCTATGTTACATTTTGTCTTTACAGAGAAAATAAAAAATTTGATGTTTTCTGGTATTTGGATACTTTAATAACTAAAATTTTTTTTTAAAAATGATTGAAGGTTCTAGTTTTTGGTATGAAAATAGAGATACAAGAATAATATACAACTTTGATGCATCAAAGATGCGTTATTAATTTTTTTTAATATCACATGCAACTATGCCTTTATATATATATATATATATATATATATATATATATATATATATATATATATATATATATATATATCTTTTCTGTATTACTTGGACTACCTTTCGTGCGTCACTGCAACAAAGGTAGTCCAAGTAATACAGAAAAATAGACTAGTATCACCTTTTATTGATAACTTGGATACATATAAATAAAATAAACTTATTCATAGAATTTATATTTGAAATATAAATTTTTTAACCGCTTAAAACAAAACAAAATTCTCTTATTACTTGTATGGCTACAAAATAAGTATGGCTTATTACTAGTATGGCAACAAAGTTCTATGTTTCAAACATACAACTGTAGTACAGTGTACATTTTGTATTACTTTCACAGAAGGTTGTATGTGAATATATGCACCTATGATACTGAATTGAGAATTTCTGTTGACATACAATCATGTTTAATTGACTTTTGCGACATTACTATATGTGCTGCCATCTACTAACAAATTCAAAAAATATCTTTGCACATACAACCTTGTTACATTGAAAGGTCTGAAAGTGAAAAAAATGTTACATACAACCTTGTAATATTGAGCCAGCGATATGTTGAGTAGGGCATTTCTTGGTATACTCCATTCCACGAATATACGACTGTTTTAAATTAGCTTTAAGGTGTCGATTTAAATGGTCCAATGTGCTGAATTGTACAATAGTAAATTCTCCCCATTTTTAAAATACTGGGACGACAGATATAAACCTTAGATTTAAATATGATGTCATGATATAAACATAAAGTTAATAGTTTATAGAATAGTTGTAATTCTGATTTTGAAGTATATAATTACTATCATGGAGTTTAGTATTGTAAACAAGTTGGTTTTTGAATTATGTGATTTAAACGAAATGTAACAATACTTAAGTGATCAAATAGTGTAATTTATTTAGTCGAATATTCAATTAGTATTAAAAAAACAAAAAAAATTACTTATTCACTTATTCTCTTAATCTTCTAAAACTGTCATCAACGATCAGATTCACAGCCATAATCAGTCGACGTTATATGAAATTGTATAAAAATTTTCGTTACTTTTTAATATCTGTAACGACTCGATACTTTAAATATCAATAGCCGGTATGTTATACCCGTTACTTTCGGAACTTTTAAGAGTACATAAACTAAAAGCAAACAAATATTTAAAACTAACAAAGTGAAATATTAGATCCTTTTTCTGGTTTCTGAACCATCGTTCTGCCAATTTCTTTTCATTTATATTAAAAATAGTATATTTATTTTTATTACAGTTGTAATACGTAATAAAGTAATAAACTAGTGTAATATCAAAGAAACCCGGCACGCCTCTTTGGTGTTTACATTTCACGGAAAGTTTACCCAAATGTCTGATGAACACATTTGGCTTCATAGACGTCATTGTATTTATTTGTAGATTTTAACTGAAATAATTTTAGTTTAGATGTCATACTAGTATAATTATATATTATAGACCCTTTTTATTGGAATAATGATTGGACCAATTTACCTTCATACTTCTACTTGCACAGTAAAATATTCGTTGTCGCCGTAAACCAAAACAGTCGTATATTCGTGGAATAACCTATATTGACAGCACTCCCTTGGCACGCCTCTTGCCACAAAGACTTATTCACTAGCCACTATTTCTCCTCTTTTCTAATCCGGGCGTGGTACTGGAAATGGCGCAGTGTAGTAAATCCGCTACTCAACACGATAAATTTTGTTCTTTGCTAAAAAATATATTTTGGTCTCAAATGGTGAGAGAAATATCTAAAATGATTTTATACTTTCAGTCGATAAGAATGGTGATGTATGTATTTCAATATTGCACGAACCCGGGGACGATAAATTTGGTTATGAAAAAGCCTCGGAACGGTGGTTACCAGTACATACAGTAGAAACTATTTTAATATCAGTTATTTCAATGTTAGCCGATCCTAATGATGAATCACCTGCCAATGTTGATGCTGCGGTAAGTACTTTATAAAACATCTACATTTAATGATAACTTTTAAGAAACAGATCTAGCGATCTAGCAGAACTATATATTTTGTGTACGAATTTTTGTTAACGCAGCTACAAGACCTACTTTTCTAAGTTTTATTTGTTAACTAATAATGAATAGAAATAGTTTTATTCACAAAATTGATTTGACAGTTTTGACATTTTACCTGGAATTAAACACACCATGCGATTTATTAACACTTATGGGGGATCGAGAGATGATTTATTATTTTTATGCTGTTTTTACCGTTAAATTCGTCCCTGTAGAAAGTTTTTGGGAATGAGTATGTGTGTGAAAATGGATGAAAAGAGAGTGGGTAAAAAAAGAAAAACGACCTGTCGATAGCTGCAAGGGCGCTTTGAAAAAATCGGCGGGATTGTTTTAAATTGTCGTTTTCGACGTCTGTGTGCACGTTATTCACTTAAATAGGTAAAATTTCCGATTTCGTGCTTTGGAACGTAGTTGGAATTGAACCATTTACTAAAAATTGGGGAGCTAGACATGACTACTGGGTGACTGACATAAATTCTCGATATGGAAAATAGTAAAAGAAATAACCTACCGAGGACAGCCAAGCGAGGTACCCGAATATTCAAGATATATTACACTAAAAGAATTTATGTGCAAATATAATAGTCAACATAATTTTTATTACCTATAGATTAGTTAAATACAAAATATGTGAATAATGTAAACAGCAGAATATGTTACTTATTATAAAACAAACCATAACATTAAGGGGAATTTTGGGGTAGGTACACGAAATACACGTTAAACACTTGTTACTGTAAATTATATTGAGATTAAAACATTAAAGTTGACAAAAAATAAAAGTCATAGCGCGGGGATGTTTCTTCGTTGGCTTGCTCTTTCAACTGCCTCTCTCGGGGGGCTTCCTGTCGGGTCGAGCAGTGGGCACAGCCAGGGAGATTATAGTAAGGGAGATTAGTGGGTACATAGTACGAGGGATTACAGGTTAATACACAGGTGGCTGTTATACACTTTTATTTACTTCTTGTACAATTGCATATTGGATGAAGATAGACTTAATATAGGGGAAGAAGAAGAAAACCCGGAAGACGAAAGCTGTGAGGTAAGCGGAGCAGACGAGAAGGAGGAGGATCCACCAACGATCCTGGTAGTTAAAGACGCTGTAAACAAACTAACCAGAAACAAATCACCCGGAACAGATAATCTTCCAGCGGAATTATATAAAGAAGGTGGCCACGATATCATAATAGCGCTACAGCAGCTTATAAAAGAAATATGGATACAGAAGTCCCTTCCCAGTGATTGGAATATTGGAATACTTTGCACCATACACAAATTTGAATGCTCGAGGAATCGAGGAATTACGCTCCTAAATACAGCATATAAAATATTCTCTAATATACTATGCCACCGTATGGCACCATATGCAGAGCGAATAATAGGACTATAACAGGTTGGTTTCAGAGGTGGTAAATCAACAATTCATCAGATTTTATTCCTGAGACAAATTCTAGAGAAAACACTGGAATACGGTGTAGACATGCACCACATATTTATAGATTACTAGGCAGCCTACAACTTTGTAAATAGAAGAGAATTGTTTAGAGCAATGATAGACCTAGGAGTACCAAATCAGTTGGTAAGTCTAACCAAACTAACCCTTGAAAAAGTTGAATGCAGAGTACGAATCCAGTGGGAACTCTCTAAACATTTTAAAACAAATAACGGGCTACGTCAGGGAGACCCACTTTCCTGTATACTATTCAATCTAGCTCTGGAAAAAGTTATACGTACGTCACAAATCACAACTACCGGTTATTGATACCGGATAACAAATCTGTGCAAATCCTAGCATATGCTGATGATATCAATATTGTTGGAATAACGGAAAACGCAGCACGAGAGGCGTACGTAGCACTAAAGGAAGCGGCTTCAAAAATGGGTTTAATAATAAACACCAATAGAACGAAATACATGAAAATAGGTACGCAACCACAAATACTACGGCCACTTGTTATAGAAAACGACGTCATCGAAGCAGTTAACGAATTTGTATACCTGGAACGCTCGTCAATACTGGAAATGACATTACCGCAGAGATAAACCGCAGAATTTGCACGGCTAATAGATGCTATTTTGGGCTTAATCTCCTTTTTAAATCTACAGTTCTATCAAGAAATACAAAAGTAAAACTCTACAAAACAATAATACGCCCAGTCCTAACATATGGTTCGGAAACCTGAACTTGAAACCTAACAAAAAGCAATGAAAACATGTTAGGAAGTTTCGAAAGAAAAATACTAAGGCGAATCTATGGAGCGGTAAATGAAAATGGTGTCTGGAGAAGACGATACAATTTCGAACTCTATAGAATATACCAGGAACCACATATCGTAAAACACATTAAGATAAGACGTCTGATGTGGGTAGGCCATGTAATGCGGATGAAGCAAACGGACCCAGCTAGGAAAACGTTCCTTGATATACCTATTGGTCAAAGAAGAAGAGGAAGACTCAGAACAAGATTCCTAGTTAACATAGATCAAGATATGAGAAATATGGAAATATGTGCTTGGCGGAGGAAGGCGATGGATAAGGACGACTGGAAAAAAATTCTTGGGGAGACATATTTACATTTTATAATATACAGCTTAGACTAATCATAAAACTAAAATCGCACTCTGTTTATACAGGGTGCGGCAGATAAACGGCCAATTAAAAATATCTCGAGAATTATAGGTAACTTAATCATAAAAATTGGAATAAAGGGATTTTGAAGAATGTTTCAATGAAAATATTTTCATCTATTTGCTACTTCCGTTTATACCGGAAGTTGCTTCTACCTTCGTTTTTTTTAATGGAACACCCTGTATATTTTTTAATTTTAGAAATATTCACGTAATTTTGAACATTTTTTGTTAATACTTCCCTATACCTCTGGTGAACCGTTTTTGAATGATAATGGTTTTTATATGAAAATTACACTTTCTACCATGCATGTATAATTCAATATCTTCTAATGTAATTTGAATAAAAGTTTAAATTCCTTAGAAACTTATTAAACACATACAGAATTATCGTTCACAGTGAAATTATATTTATTATAATACTGCTGTATAATGAAAAAGGCAACATTACACTGTAAATTAGAATGCTGTATGTAGTTAATAAGTTTCTAAGGAATTTAAATTTTTGTTAAAATTACATTCGAGAATATTAAACTTTATATGCATGATAGAAAAGTGTAATTTTCGTATCAAATCCATTATAATTCAAAAACATTAATAAAATTTCACCAAACCATTACAGTATTTGTTCTTGAATTCTTTTTGAGACTTTTGCCACCCCGGCTCTTACCCTCAAGTTTCTGATCCTGTCCCTTCTAGTCTTACTCACCATCCACCATTACATTTTCATTTCAGCTACCTTCATCTTATTTTCCTGAGTATTCTTTACAGGCCACACTTCACTGCCGTACGCCAACGCAGGTATCACCATACTCTTGTATATCGTTTCTTTCAGTCCTTCCCCGATTTTTCGATCACAAAGTACCCCCCTCATTCGCTTCCAGTTAAACCAATCAGCCCGTGTGGGCAATTTCTTGATAAAGTGTCCCATTTTTCATTGGTAGGAGCCAAGGTACTCCTATTCTCCTACTCGTTCTAGTTTTTCTCCAAACAATTCTATGTCTCCAACCATTCCTCTTCCTCCGAAACAAATCACACCGTTTTGGACCTGCTAACAGTACAGAGCCATATCCTCTTTTGGTGTGAAGACCAGGCGATGCCTGGTTGGGTGGCTACAGGCATCATGTAACCAACCCCCCGTCATCCGAAAACTGGTCTCTTCCTGCTGGTCTGTTCCTCCCCGTTCCGATCCGGAAAGTAACAGACCAGCAGTGTATGGCCCTATTTTGGTCCGTTGTTTGACCAGTATTATATCGTGCGTGCCGGCCACCCACCCCCATAGCGAAAACATAGCCAAGCCACTATCGTGGGCATAATGGAAAAAATTAGCCAATAAGGGCTTATAATTAAAAGTTTAAAATACAAATATATATATATTGAAAAAAAAAGTAAAACGGGACATACACAGACATAGAGGACAATACAAACATCTCGTCAAGTGGATAAAATAAGTTCCTAAACTAGACGAGCGTAGGTCCCACGATAGGAAGAAGCCGATGCGAGTAAATATTCGGAAAATAAATTCTCATAAGTCATTTATGCTAGGACCTCATAAAATGACTATGAATATGGAGGCTGCCCATAATTGCCTTAGTGATGAAATTGCGGACGTCAAACCTTGATAAGTTAAAAATTCTCATGACACGAGAATTTGACTGACACCATGTTCCGCGAGCACCCACGATTAGAGGTGCCATGCAAATTTGTATCCCTGGATATCGGGTCTGCATGGTCTGAAGGAATCAAGGCTCAGTGTACAGCGCTGTTTTATTGGCAGCGGCTGTACTAAGGGGTTCAGGACCCTCCCAGCTGACGGCAACGTTCACGACAATTACCTGCTCACCCAAATGTGCGACAAGGTCAGGTATTTTCAGAGTCCCGTCGGTGCATCTTATCCGCGGCTCAACCTCGCAAGTCCACCCTTTTCAGCTGCCTTTCGTAAATACGTAACGAGCTGATCATGTCTCTTTATGCGATGCCCTTTTAAGTCTTCCCTATTTAATAGCCATTTTCCAACACTCCAACTTCTCCTATAACATGTCCTTGCTCTCCTCTACTAACACGATGTCATCAGCCAACAGCATTGACCAAGGAGCCCTTTCCCTTACTTTCTCTGTCAGTACATCCATAACAAGATTAAACAAGTAAAGACTCAGTGAAGAGCCTTCATCTACACCAACCGTCAATGGAAATCTTTCGATCAATTCGACAGCGGTCCTTACTTTGGTGTACGTTCCTTCATACATATCCTTCACGAGCCTTACGTACTTCTCAGGAACCATTTTCTCTCACATACATGTCCATAGATCTTGTTTAGGAATTTTTCTCTCTCTTTTCTTCTCGCTGTATTTCTTTATCAACTGTTTCAAAGCAAACAAGGTATCCGTTGTCTACCTTCCCGGTATAAGCATAACCATGTCTTTTTCCTTATCCTTCGCGCTACAGTTCTCTCTCAAATTTTTAATTTGTGTGTCATTAACTTTATCCCACTATAGTTCTTACAGTTCTGGATGTCCAATTTATCTTTATACAATGACAACATCACATTCTCTCTCCGTGCATTCGGCATCCTTTCTTCCTTCTATATCCTACTCATCATTTGCCGCAAAATATTCCTCTGATCTTCTTCTTATAGTGCCGTGAACCTATTGGCGAGGAACCGCAAAGTGGGCGACGCCTGGTGGTAGATTTCAAAAGCCTCCACTTTGGGAAAACATTGAAATTGTCATTATTTTGTATACATATTAGCGACCAGTTTATATTGTAATTAATAGTAACTTCGAATTCAAAAAATTATTGCAGTGTTCTTCAATGTTCATCCTATTATAATTCACAAAAAAATTCTATACATAAGTTTCCGCTAGACGAGAATATGAGAAAAGTTTGGCAAACATATAACCAAGTACGTGACTGTGTGCAGTTTACATTTTACTGAGAACAATTACTTTCCAAGTGTTGATTAAAATATTATTTATATTTTAATATATTTATACTTAATTTACTTTATAGTAACACCTGAAACTAAATTAAGAAGACTAAAGAAAAATGCTGTTCCATCAGCTAAATTGCCCCAACGGTCTCGTGAAGTTATTAGTAGAAAACGTAAGGCGTAATTTACAAAATATAACGTAGCTAGCTCCAAAAACTGCATCACCCTTAACTAAAGATTTCTGCGGATCTTGCAACCATATAAATAATTAAGATAATGTAAATTTTACTTCCCGTGTTTCAGACATACTGTAGAAAAACAAACATTTAATTTTATTTTTATTCAGCTTTGGGGGTCAATTACCTTATGTATAAACTCGAATCACAAACAAATAAACTTTGAAGAACGTACTCCAACTTTTGCTTTGGAAAAACACACGTGTAAATGATTTATATTAAACATTTTATACCTTAGAGATCAAATGACAAAATTGTTTGTTTTCCCGAAGTTACCGTCCATATTTAAAATATTCAGCGCCCCCTGTCGGCATTGGCTATCGCGAATAGTGCGTTGACGAATTATCTTAAGGCCAGACGTCTGTCTTTTGCGGCATGCAAAAGATCGCCAGTGTTATTTATGCCTGTCCAGTTTTTTATGTTTCGTGGCCACGACATTTGTTTGCGACCTACTCCTCTCTTGCCTTCAATCTTTCCCTGGATGATTATTTGAGGGATTGCGTATTTTTTCCTCTCAGAATATGGCCGAGGTATCCAATTTTTCGTACCTTCCTCTCTTAGAGCCTTCCAAACTTTCACAGGTATTCCATCAGGTCCTGATACTTTATGATTCTTTATCGTATTTAACGCCTCAACAATTTCATCTCTCTCTATCTCCGGTATTACAGTCTCATTTGCTGGTGTCATTACAGGTGTTCTTCAATTAGCAACTTTCCAAAGTACTCATACCATCTTTGCCGATTCATTATAGAATTTTTCATATCAAAATGAGTGCACTTCATTCAAGTTTAACGACGTCAGAACCACACAGCGTTGCCAAAACTTCAGAATAGTTAATAAGTGATGAATTTTGAAAATGTCAAATGTCAAAGTGACGTCACGTGTAGTGACGTCACTTTGTATAAATCGTGACGAGCCACGTTCTTACTTTTGAAAAATAGTATACATTCACTAACTTTATATGTAGCTAAAATAATATTATACAAAAACCATAAACGTTTATCAAAATTGTTATCTTCCATTCCAAGGTTCAGCCTTTTTAATCGTTTAATCTTTTACGACCTTACTGGAATGAATTTTCAAATATATTTTTTCTTGTTTACAGAAAGAATGGCGAGAATCATACTCAGAATTTAAACGGAAAGTAGCAAGATGTGTCCGGAAGTCACAAGAACAAGAGGAGTGTTAGGACTGTATTAAATTTGAATTGATAAACAACTAATTATAAAAAATAAACCATAATTGATTTGATTCCCGGGCTGTTAAAATCTACGTGACTTTTTGTATGTCGTTTCCGTAGTTTTTTATACAACTTAATAATAGTAATATACTTTTTAAACATTCGATAGACTTCAACACGCCACCGGAATCAAATCACGTGTTTCAACATTTCTTTCTTGTGTTTTTTAAATATAATTTTGCGATCTCAACAACAACTGAGAAGTTTTTAAAATTAGGAATCCGAAATAAATTTTTAGTTTAACTTTATTACAATTTGAATAAATGTCACATTGATTTAAAAATATTTGCATTTTTTGTTGATTTGTCGCGACTGGTCTTGTAAAAAGTTTATGCTATGCAGAGATTGGTTCCTATTTTAACTGGAAGTATTCGAAGGAAGACGCACAAACATTGTCTATCTGATCTTTCGAACAAATACACGAAAAAATAAACGTCCTTATTTCTATATTGAATTAAATAAATTAAAGTAAGGTAAAGTTCGTGTAACCTTCTGGCTTAGGTCTAATGTTAGGGGTTTCAGGGCGCTCAAGCGTTTAGGTAAATTAGAAATTGAAAAATTTGTGGTGTCCGTACTGGGAATCGAACCCGGGTTCTCTAGCTTGTTAAACCAGTAACATAGCCACTGAAGTACGGCCACCACATTATAAATTTAAACTACAACAGTGATCTAACAAAATATACTGTCCATTTTCAACATATATCATCTTTATCCAAATGTCGAGAAAAAACTTTATTTTCACGATCGCTGTGTTTTATTTTCAAAATTCCACTAATTACTTACGTTAGGTTGGGTTAAATGGGAGTAGGCGTTTAACCATCCTTCCACTTGATCTAAGAGGTCGATTTTGGCTGATCCCTTCGTTAAAGTTGTTCTTTTAGCCCAGCCTTTTGAACATGTTCTTTGGTAACACTTCTACGGAGTCGTAGGGCTCAAGTTGACAATGCTTACATGTATTAAGCCTTATCCCTGGGCAGTTGCACAGACAATGTTCTACCGTCACGTATTCAGCTTGACAAAATCTGAAATACGCACTTTTTATCGGTCAGATTTTATTCATGTGCCTCTTGAGACGTTAATGTCCTGCAAGACTAACGGTAATTCGCAGTTCGTTCCTATTTATATCTAGCAGATCTTTTGATTGATCTCGTATCATATCAGTGATTACGTCTCATCCGTTCAACCCACACCCACAACTTTACTTCTGCACATACTATTAACCAATATAAAATATATAATTATACATGTCTAGCTATGTACTTTCTGGGCAGGGGGTGCAATTGCACTCCCTGTGATTCGCCATGTTATAGAGTCAAATATAAATTTTGGCCTAGTTTTTATCTACAGTAAATGGTTCATTGTATAAAATATTGTCCATTGATTGATTATTGTAAAATATCCAATTTTTTCCTTTTCTCTTTGTGTTTAGTTTTATGTATAACAGACAAAATGTAGCAACATTCAAAAGTTCAGAAAACATTTGTGCGTATTTCTTCGTTTTTTTTTATTTTAACAAAAATAAAATACAGTGAATCTATTTAAGCTAATACATTAGTGTTTTTAAGACAAACAATATGTTGAAGATGATGTAGATGTCATAAAATCTTAATTTTTTTTATATTTTGATGTTTACAGTCTTGCGTCAAATAGTTCTGAAAAGTTTTTCTTGTGAATTTTTATATCAACTATTGTATTTCATGGGAATAAAGCAAAATTATTATATTTTTCGTTTTGATTTCCAGTTTGGAAATTGTTCTCAAAATACATATTAAACAAATTCTTTTATTACTTGAAAACAGAAAAATCTTCATAGTTTAATTTTATAGCCTAACTCATACAATCTTCTTCTTTGTACTTCAGTCATTTGTTCCATATTTTACTAAAATCAAAATTAAGGAACAACAAGGAACAAGAGAAGACAAAGATTCCTTCATTCAAGGAAACAATCGTCCCACACACCTGATGTTTCAGGAATTCAGTGCATTTGATTAATTACAAAATTTTTCGTTCAAATATCTACTCAAAAATATATTTATTCTGGACTTTTTTATTCCGACTTCTGGATATTTTTTCGATTTAACGCATACTTAATTTAATACTTATATATTTATTTATTTAGATAGGTAAAATTTTCACCGTTCAACTTTACAAATCATAACTTCAAATTAGAACCAAAAGAATACGATTTGCATTATTTTTGACACTTTAGCTGGGCTTTTGTGTTATGGTATATTCAACTGTATTATTATTACATACAACCACATATGTTTTTTAAAAGCACAATATGTCGAGCAAAAAGTAGAACACTGTATTACCGATGATGATATTTATTTGATACTTCCATTTGTCCATTATCGTAACTTTTAAGGTTAAGTTGTACTATATAAACTGTGTTAAGCCTTCGAATTGTGGATGAGTAATTATTTTTTTTCAGAATTTACCAAGCTTCAAGAGAGGTTTTTAATAATCGTAAGACAGTGAGATGTCAAAAAACTTGTAATTGCTCCTAGACATTTAAATTTTACTGTAACGCTGTAGGTATCGTAATTTAAGTAAATTTTATTAAAAAATCTTATGTGTTATTTTTTTTGTCGTTTTGAAATAATTTGAACGCATTTTATTTGGTCGCTGAAATGTGATGAGCAGGTTTCAACACAATCTAAATGAGCGTTTATGTTCATGTATAGAAATTCAAATGGAAAACTAAAAAACAACTAGATATTTCCATCCTAACATTTAGATAGGATGAAGATATAAATAGAAATTTACGGCGTAACAGACATACTTAGTATAAGAGTTGAAATCGAGCCATTAAGGAGTTCCAGATTAGTCCCGCAATGTAAAAGATGCCAGGCTTACGGACACACGTGGAAATACTGTATAAAGGAGCAAAGATATGTAAAATGTATTGGTAAACACCTTACTAAAGATTGACAAAAACCACCAGAAGATAAACCAAAATATGTTCATTGTGGAGAAAACCATCCTGCAAACTACCGCGGATGTTATGTAGCTAAAAAATTACAAACAATGAGAAACGAAAGAATAAACAAAGACATAGAGATATTGAAAGCAAAAAACTAAAAAACGTTAGATGTCAGTGAATATAGAAGTTACAGCGCTATAACAAAGAATGCAAGAAGACACGCACGGAGACATCGCTATAGTAAATGCTGCTTTTAGATTGAGATATAGACTCTGGAAAATAGCCGAAGTAATTATGATCACCAAACCAGATAAACCTCCTAATGAAGTGACATCCTATCGACCAATATCGCTCCTTCCGGTGAGGTCAAAACTATTTGAAAAGATTAAAACCAATAATAGAAACAAAAAATCTTATATCAAATCGTCAATTTGGTTTCAGAAATAAACATTCCACTATAGATCAGGTTCACAGAATATCGAATATAATAGAAGAAAATAAAGTCTGCTCTACAATCTACCTGGATGTAGCACAGGCGTTTGATAAAGTCTGGCATGAGGGTTTAAACTATAAACTAAGAACGTTCATGCCTAAAAAGTATTCAGAATTCTTAGAATCATACATTGCGAATAGATATTTCAGAGTAAAACAAGAAGAAGTGTACACCGACTTAAGGGGGGTCAAAGCTGGCTTGCCCAAAAGGGAGTGTATTAGGTCCGGTCCTGTATTGTATACGTGTGACATTCCATAGCTAGAACAAAACATTGCCACTTTCGCGGGTGATACAGCCATATTAGCGATAGATTGGACCAGAAAATGGCGAGTAAAATTAAATTATGACACTAAATCTGCACACATTAACTTAACAAATAGAAAATTTCCCATAAATGATACCCAAGTTCTTTATGCAACATATTTGGTCATCACCCTAGACGCGAGGCTGCGCTGGAAAGTCCATGTCAAAAAGAAAAAAAAACGGGAGCTTGCTATTAGATATAAGAAATTGTATTGGCAGATTGGAAAGAATTCAAAATTATCAATTTACAAGCAAGTACTGAGATCAGTATGGGTATATGGGTGCCAACTCTGGGGCTGTACCAAAGCTAGTAATCTACATATTATCCTCAGGGCGCCGCGGCTCACAGTTTGGGAAGTACTGGTCTAAAGCTTCCTTAAATACCCATTCAGAATAAATATTGAACAACAATGGAGACAAAATACAGCCCTGTCGTACTCCACGTTCTATTGCAATTTTATCAGTTAACTGGTCTTCTATTTTGATTTTGGCCGTTTGATTGTAGTAAATGTTTCTGATAATTCTAAGATCTTTGTTGTCAATTCCAATTTCTTGCATGAGAGTCATTAATTTGTCATGTTTTGCTCTGTCAAATGCCTTCTGGTAATCTATACCTACAGCATACGTATATGTCACAATTCACATCCCTGCATCTCTGAAATAGCACTTGTACAGCAAAAAGGGCCTCCCGTGTTCCCAGAGCATCACGAAATCCGAATTGTGTTCTTGTTAGTTGTTCCTCACATTTTGTATATATTCTTTTGTGAATGACCTTTAGAAATGTTTTAAGTAAATGGCTCATAAGGCTTATAATTCTATAGTCTTCGCACTTTCTCGCGTTGGGTTTTTTTGGAAGATTTATAAAAGTTGACACTAACCATTTTTGGGGAATTATGCCTGTATCATATATATATTGTTAAATATATTTGTCAACTATTTTATGCCATCATAGTCCAAAAGTTTTAAGAATTCTGAGTGAAAATTATCAGGGCCTACTGCTTTTCCATCTTTGGTGCTTTTGATGACATATTTTACTTCTTCGACTGTAAATAGTGGTCCAGATTCGCAATTGGTGTTTGTTGTGATACCAGAGTTACTTCGTAGGAATATTTCTGCATTTTAAAATCTCAAGCCAAACTAATAACGTTTGAATTTAACTGTAATTTAATTTTAAAAATGCTTTTTCTTTCGAGCTCTTTATTTATTTTTTGAAGTATTCTATAAAGATGTTTAAGTTTAGTTAATAAAAATATATGTACATTAACTATGAACTACAGTCTGATTTTTACAAAATTAATGTTAATTTTTGTAAAATATTTTTGCCTCAAAAAATTCGTTTTTCGCTACTAAAAAATTCGCTACTATTATTATACTTTTCAGGTCGAAATAAAAATCAATAATGGGTAAAACTCAAACTTTATTTACATTGAA